CACACACACACACACACACACACACACACACACACACACACACACACACACGCACACACACTCCTCTTCCGCCTCCTGTTCCTTGTTCACTTCCTACTGAACTGTTCCATTTTTCCTCCATTTCCACATCGAAGGCCTTTCCTCTTTCCCTCTCTTCTTCCTTCTGGTATCTCCTCGTGTATTAAATTATAACTCCTCCTCCATCTTTAGGTCTTCACCTGTTCCTCCAGAAATTCTCCCACTCCTGCTTCATGAAGTCTTCTCCTCTTCTACTTCTACTTTCTCAGTAACTTTCTCTCTTCTCCTCTACTTCCTCCTCAAGATCCTCATTTTCCCCAAAGTCCTCTCCTCTTTCACAACCTCCCCATAGTCTTCTTCTCTCCACTTCATTCTCCAGGTCCACTTCCCTCCTCCACTTCGTCTCCCCCTCCTTTATTTTCATCTCGAGATCCTGTCCTGCTCCATTTATTTTCTTCCTCCTCCATTTTCTCCTCTTGTTCTTCTCCTCCTCCAGTCTACTCCTTCTCTAGTTCTTCCATTCCATGCTTTTTCTCTACTTTTTTTTCATAACCAATTTGGCTTCGAGGCATTGAAAATTGGAATTTCCAGGCAAGAATAATATAAATGAGCTTTCCTAAAGTTTCAGTTTCACAACAAAGAGTACAAAAAGTGTACTATTGATTGACTGCCCCGTCCTGAAAATGTATGGGCCTCAAAGCACAGAGACCTGTACCTAATCAGAACCACTATACAGTCAATTTTACAATGTAAATGTAATGCTTTCTTATTTGAATCTTCACATTAATCATAACCGTTACCAGTACTAAAATGAAGAGCTAATTAATTGATTCTGTCTCTTAAATAACAGCCACATTGTAATATAAATGCCAAGACGCACACCTCGTATACACACACAAACAAGCGAGAAATAAAATTGTAAGCATAGGAAAAACAAGAACTATAAAATGCAATATAATTAATAGTCAGTTTATTTACAACAAACATAGAACATTTCTTACAACAGACTGGTGCATGGAAATGGAACAGACTTGGCTTCTCCCCTGATCATAACTTCAAGGATTTTGAGAACAAAAATTTACTCTATTTTCAAAAGTGGACTCCAACACATCTTCAAAGGTTTCATAACCAAGTCAATCCATTGGAACACATTAGTTGTATACATACCCTGCCCCCCTCCCTCCCCAAAACCAATCACCTTCTAAGGCTGCGCTACTCAGTAGAATCTTTACCACAAGTTACAACTTTATCACAAGTTACAAGTTCTTCATATGTTTTCTCGGAATCTGCAGTTTCAGCTTTTGAGCACTCTCTTTGAAGTGTGTGGGTGGTCGGGTGGTGAGGAAGATCATCTTGCCATTGTAGTTCCGGAGGATGATGGAGCGACAGTGCAGGTGAAGTCCCAACTCGCGTACCTTAGCTTGGCGAATCTTTAGCAAGTCCAGCATTTCCCTGTGAAGTTTCTGTTGAAAATTGGAAGGAGAACAAATTTGTAACTGGGATACATTGAAAAAATCTTGTTATCCAGTCAGATATAAGTTTTCGGCCTTAGACTAAACAAAAAAATGAGAATATTGATAAAAATAATGATGCAAGTACAACCAACCAATGTCACCCTTCCCCTGCTTGTAAACAATGATTAAGGAACTTTTTTCTCAGCTGACTGTATGATCAGGGAGGAGGACAGTGGTCAAACTTCATACCTGTGGCTACCCAAGAAAGTTTCCTGGCCCACACATCACCTCAGCTCTGAAAAGACAAGTTGGGGACAGATTTTGCACCCACACCACCCTGACTATCTACACTACAATCATGGGTGGGTAACAGCTACTTCCAAACCAATCCCTTTCTTCGCCTGGGGGTGTGGCATAAAGGTTAGAACCAGTGGTATCAAACTTAGTGGGTAGGGGGTTTTGTCTTGAATTAGGGCTGAGGGGGCAAAGCATTTTCTGCCTTTATCAGGTCAAAACCTCTAAAGAGAAGAAATTTCTCTGTCCATTTCTGGGTTGTAAAAGGTTCCATCTCAAACAGATGTATTATAGAGGAGGTTATAATAATAATAATAGATAGCATTTGTATAGCGCATATCCCCGCTCAACAGCAGGCTCTATGCGCTTTACACTATATTATCATAGGGGGAGTAGGGAGATTCCGTCATATACAGTTTTCTGCTTCGATAGGGTTCCAATATGCAATAGAAGGCCAGCTGCTGTGGTTTACCAGGTCACAAAGTGGACCAACATAGGGTCAGACATGTCTGTGGTTTGAATCCTAGAGATGCGTAACTTATTTTTTCTTGTCCTTCTTGAACGAAGGCCCCTCAGCTCTAAACTTATCCCTAAAAAAGTATTATTTGGTATCTCATAGCATTTAAAAACTTAATTGTCAACAGCAAAATAGCAACGAACAAAAAATCCACAAAAAAAACACAACAAAACCCATGTTCATAAACTAAAATGAACAAACAAAATCGGACACCTGAGGCGCTGTCTTGGAGAAATGTGAGTACTTGTGGTCCCCCAGGATTGGTGTGTTGAGACCACTGGCTAGATGTACCCTGATCTGGTGTTTAAGGTTGTCTGGAGAATAAAAATAGTAATAAAACTCATTTCCTCTTTCATTCCACGTTGTGTATCAATATATCAGTATCAGCATCTTCTCTTGGAAAATATTAAACGTTACACACAAAAGCTTTACGACTCGACCAAAGGCCAAAGAACCAGAGAACGTAGGAATGAGGGGCAAAATGCTTTTCCTATTATAAGAAAATAACATCCAACTTAGCGGAGGTAGGAACTGCACTGGGGATCTTATAGCCACAACTCTGAAACTTAAACAAAAAAACAAGGTCAACATTTATAAAACTGCTTGGACTACCCTATACTTCTGTGTGTTTCTTGCTCTGACATATTACTACTTTGATTTGCACAACATGCCACAGATGAGAATTCTATTCTCACATTGAAAATATGCTTTCTTGAATACTTCAGTCTTTCTGCTGGGAGGTAACCCCACACAACCCAGGTAGGCCTTTACAACCAGGAACAAAGACATAAGTATGCTGAATTTTTCAAATTAAAAAAATCTCCACTTATTTCATGGCTTTCGGCCAAACTGTCCAACTCTTAAGTGCTGTTAGGGTGGAAAAGAAAACAACATCTACTAAATCCCAGTAACTAATAAGACTATAACTAGTAATCATTATAGATTTTAAAGCGCAGAGATCTAAAGCTTGCTGTTGAGCCGGAATTTACGCTGTACAAAAGCTTTTTATTTATTATTATTATTATTATTATCATTATTATTATTATTATCCACATAACAGACTTACTGGTGAGTGGTGTGCACTCCACAATGGCTGACTGCTGGTGGGAACATAGCACCTGGAATTCTGTTACTGCCTGGTAGCTTCGAGCTCTGCTTGTCTTCTTCCCCAGCTTTTTCTGCTCTGTGCTGTACTGCGGCCGAAGTACCATCTGTAGTAGCAATCAAACAATGTTACGTCTGTACTAAACACATACAATAAAGATGATAATAATAATAACGATGATAATAATAATGATAATAATAATAATAATAATAATAATAATAGTAATAATTGCATTTATATAACACATATCCATGCTCTACAGCATGCTCTATGCATTTTACAATTATTATTACCCAAGCAGACCCTAGAACACTCAGAAGCCTTCTCAGCTTCCCCGGAAGCATGCAGTGCAAACTGCAGACTTCACACCCTCAAACACTGACAGACTGACAAGATCTTTTGCTGTCCATAGCTGGGTACCCATTCCCACCTGGGTAAAGTGAGGAAAATTTGTGTAAAGAGCCTTTCCCAAGAATATGATGGACAGGCCCCTGATGGAATTCGAGCCCATGACTTTATAGTTGCAAGCCTAAGAGCCTAACCACTAGGCCATTGATGCCACCTTACATTTTACAAGTTTCAAGATTGTGGTAAATACAATGGTAACTTCCCTGTGACCAGCCAATAGATTCCCCCCGAATTCAAAAAATAAATTTATAGTCGGGTACAGATAACACAAACACTCAAATCTCAAAATCACGGATAGCTCGTATAATATGCTATTCCCCGACTGAACCACTATAGTTTCTTTGAATTGGCAACACTTTTTTAAAAAACAAATATGCGGATTTGTCAAACAGCTCATCTAAAACAGCCTGTTTATGGATGTTATTTAGTTTGTTTCACAGTTTGAGGGAAATTTGCTCTGTATATAAAGCTAAAACTGATACTAAATTATAGTGAACAAGGAATGATATGTCTAGATGGATTACTCAAACACATTGGGGATTGACAAACTAAATTGCAATAATATAGCCCCAGAGTAAGTACCTAGTGTATTTCAGGAAGATAGCCAGATATCTTTCAACAAGAAACAAGATGCTGAAATCTGAAATGCCCTTTCCGTTAACCTCTAAATTTCTAGAACAAACAAAAAAAGTGTCGTTACAATTAACCTTGTAAAGACTGCCAACTTTCCCCTCGCCAATGGGAATGTCAATGACCCCATGGGAAGGGCTGGGGACTCCTTTAGTGATTGCCCAAAAGCGCTGAATGATCTCTCCCTCGGTGTTGAACATGCCTCTCAGAACAGAAGCCACTTCAGGAGTCCTGCAGTCACAGTTAATTGTTTTGTTTAGTTAACATATTCTTTGCCATATCGACAGACCGAAGGGCTAGAACCCAAATGGCCGCTGGATCGGAAAAGTAAAGTAAAGTAAAGTAAGTTTAGTTAGCATGTTTGGCTGTTAATTTAATTAGAAAACGTGTTGTTCTAATTCTAACACATAATATTAATACACAGTGTTTAATTTGTAATAATACAGAGGCTAGATATGTACAATGTATAAGTTATTTATGTACGCTGAGTATGATCTTTTAGGACTCTAAATTAGCCAGCATCTGCAGAGGGGATGTAGAAAAAAGACGATGACAATAAAAACTATGGGAAAATATTTCTTTCAAATAAATATTTGATGTCAAAAATATAAAGGAGTGGATTAATCAGAAAACATCCTCTTTTAATGTAGCATTTCAATTTATGATGCAACTGATCACAATGTCCAAGCATTTTAAAAGCAAAAGACACCAACTTCCACAAAGTGACAAAAATAAACAATAAATACAACATTCTTACAGTCTTGACATCATTCTTAACCATGTTGACTGTGAATTCTGTGCCAAATAGCATAGATTTGAATTTGGAATTTACTAAGAAAGCTTGATTTCATGTTTGTGCCAAATTATCCGAGCACTTTGAAGAAAGTCAGCACAATAAAATCCTTATTTTCCCAGGAACAGAAATGAATAACAGTAACACGGAAAAGAAGAAGACGAAGCAAACCATGTGATAAGGGTACCATTAACCACCCAATACCAATGGACCAGAATATAGGACTATACAAAGTAAACAGCTTTAAACACAGCACACAAAATGATTAAAGAGAATAAAAACGATACATGACAAACAAAAAGAAAGCAAGAAATCACATTACACACTTTGCCAACACCACAGTTCCTGTGACATCCCGGTCTAAACCTTGCACAATGTGAAGTTCATTTGCAGCAAAGGTTTTGGGCAGCATTCTTGTGAAATCTGGTAGAAGATGGGAAAGGCTGACTCTCTCATCTTTCTGGCCTGTCAATTAGTAAAGACATTAAAGTTATGGTCAAATGAGAACTAGGACTTGAAAAAGTTTCAAGTAAAATTTTATCTTTGGCAATAAAACATGTGAATAAAAATGATTTAATCTGAGGCAAGAGTACATGATGGAATTCTGTCAATGTTGGTTTTATCCATGCACTACAGTATTATACACAGTCAATAATAATTCTCTTTTGGTAAGCACTATTGAAATGAAGTCCATTAGTAAAAGTCTTCTTCTGAGCTGTCAACATATCACAACACAATGCGACTGTTACAAAGCACACAAGGAAGCAAAGTGCATGATAATGCCAAAAGAGAAAGAGAAGCAAACAAGAATGCAGCATTTACCAATTATTCACATTACATAACTACTCTCTTGTACAGATAATTCAATATGAAGTGCAGTTTGAAGTGTACTAGTTTGACATTTTGCTTTGCACATAAAAGAGGTAAATTTACATATATATAGAGATTGAGAAAAATATTGTCTCCGACCGCCTTTCTCATCAGACACACCCAATACATATCAAGGATTGGCTCTGAATTACTAAGAGACCAAAATAACCTGCCTCATCAATTATCTGATTTGTGTCTTTAGTATAGTATAGTATAGTATAGTATAGTATAGTATAGTATAGTATAGTATAGTATAGTATAGTATAGTATAGGGTTTTACGGTGCTCCCAACTGCTAAGGTCGTATGAGCGCTTTGTCTTTGGTAGCATTTAACATAAATAAGCACATATACTATGGACTATTGCACCTAAGCCATCATAGAAATCTAGAGAAATATAAAAATATCACTATTGGAGTACATGGTAAGACCTAATTATCAAAGCAGTAACTTAACCTGCACTTTAGTTACGGTACTATGAGTGATATGAACATGATGTAAAAAGTATTTCCACATTGAGTCTACAACAAAACAGAAAAGATCTGCTTTTTATTAAGAGAAAACAAACAAACAAAATCATACCAATTGACGCCAGTCCATATGGTTTGTTTATTGCCAGAAAGTCATCTGTGAATAACAAGTAAAATGTAAGATTGGGAAATAAAGTGCATAATCTCTTGCACCCCCTCCCCCCCAAAAAAAACAACCAACAACCTTTTCCCATCCCCAGTTCCTAAAGCCTCCTACAAAAACCAGAAAGAAAAAAAGAGAAGCATCAAATATCATGAAATAAAAATAAGCAAAGCTAAAGTGATAAAAATGAATTTCTAATAATATATATCATGATCAAGCTGAGGACAATGATAAACATAAAAACTCAACATTACGGGATTTCACATTCTGAAATGAAATTAAGTGGTCTGGTAGTGAAACAGATTGTACACTGTACAGTTATATAAATGCTACTGTTTACAATTATTGATCACACCTTGGTACATTTTTGTTGCTTTATATAAAACTTATAAAACCAGTCTGCCTTTGATTGCAAAAGAAAAAGGGACAAGCTACACAAACTAAAATATGATTATGACAAAACAAAGTTGTTAGCAGTGACCACTGTCCTACCCATTCCATATAAAAAAAATTTTTTTAAAGAAACATTGTTTAATTGGGTTAATTTAATATAAAAACAATCACCAAAGTACATTTTCTTCTCATTACATGAAAATCACATACTAGCTTTGACCACATCTTCAACTTTAACAGCCATCTATAAGACAAAAATTACCAATTTTTAAAAAGTCCGCTTCCCACTTCTCCCCTTGTATTTTTTTTCTACAAATATGATAATGACACTGTCTAAAACTATTTTTCTCTCTGTAGACAATTTTGACTGTTTTCCAATCTAGGGAAAACATTACCATTATTGTATATGATCCTTTTCTTTAACAAGATGAGGATATCAGTAATGGTCATTTTATCCCACTGTGGAACTGGACTGACTGGAACACGGAATCCCTTGCTGTCCCGTTTTCTACCAAAGAAATGCTGTTCATCATCAGCATTCAGTTCACTTTCTGAAGAAACAAAAAAAACACAAACTCCTTAAATAAAACAAAGTTTAGGAGTGATCACATCAAACTGTTCAGTACAGTAGCAAAAAAAAGAAAAAAAAAAGAAGGGAAATCTGTCCACCTATAATATCAGTAAGTACCATATTAATAACTTGACTGTATTCCAGCAGAGGCACTCAAACCTGACATTGAGACCAGTGGTGAGATGTAGTAACTACCTTTCTGCAAGATATGGAAAGGTGAGCAAGCATCTATAATATATAATGATGTACTGAAGAGAGGGTTTCTTCACCAAACTCCTAAAGAAACTCACACTTTAATCACAGTAGCACACTGCTCTCTATCACAAACAAGGTGTTCTAACAAGTTGCGAATTGTCTGAAAAATGCTGTGGACTCCAACTCTGAGAAATAGTTGGGTTTTCAAAGCAGTAGAAAGAGTACAGATCAAACTGCAATGCCACACATCATTTTGGAGCAGTCCCTAGAATGGATTACTTCCTTCTTTGTCAACTTCATTGACTGCGAGAAGGGATCTGACATCTATAGAGGTGAGGCGACGTGACTGGTCACGGTAGAGAATTGAAACATTGTTCTGCAAGAGAAAAATCTAATGCTCCTGTTGTTGAAAATAGTATGCGTAGCCCTGATACAGCCATTTCAATTTTCAGCATCATCAAAGGTAGCATAGATAGGCTGTTTTGACATGTTTGCAATGATTGTATGGATGGACAAAAACTCATCTCTCTCCTGAAAGTAAACATTTCAGAAAGTAATAAGGGGGTCCAAAAATACAGCATGCATCAATCAATATAATCAGTGATAGGTTGGATCCATTCAATTTGTAGGGTGCTAGGTCCACCGTACTTTTCCCTTGTCCCAAAGCTCTGCTGCTAAGTTCTAGAACATGAACAGAATGTCGGAATGATGGGACCAACATTGGCACTAGCAACTTTCAAAGATGCCTTGATGCGAAAAGATTGTTATAAAAAATTTGAATTATATATGTTACCTGTCCCTTTTTTTGGTAGTCAATTTAAAATGTATACAATCTCACCTTGGTCTCTTTGGAGATCCTGTCTAATCTTCATTGCCAGGTCATAAGCTGTTTCAGGCGACTCCAAGTGTGGCACAGGCAACTTTTTCTTTACAATTGGAGACTTCTCTTTTAAATATTGTATGCTACTCTCACTAGAAATCTGTCCCTGAAAAGGTACTTCACTCTGCATGGGCCATGTTGTTGTAACAGAGTCTGATATCTTTGTACCCAAGACATCAATAGCAGGAGGTTCATTCACGGAATACTGCAGCTGTAGATTCAACGGCTGTTGTACCTCAGTTTGGTATTTCACATCCTGCTTTGAAGAAGTCTGTTCCTGTACAAAACTTGTATCGATATCTCTGTGAAATGACTGAGCAGAAGAAGCAGTATGACCAAAATATTGCTCATCAACTGCGTTAAATTCATTGTGGCTCTGACTTCTCTCATTATCAGAGGGAGGATCGAAGGAATAGTTCTGCTGCTGATTTAAATGATCAAGAATTGAAAGCTGCAGTTGCGATTTTACTTCCATATTCTGCTTTGAAGAAATCATGTCTGTTTCAGAACCATATCCATCTCCATGAAGGGATGGAGAAGTAGTAGCAAAGTATTGTTCATCAATTGCATTAAATTCTCTTTTTTCTTCACTTTCTTTTTCAGTATCATATTCTGACATGGCAGAAGCATCACTTGAACTTTTTTGGTTAATGCAGTCAGAACTACTAAAATACTGATCATCAACAAAAGACAGATCAGACTGGATGCTGTCTTTACCAGCAGTGTAGTTGGAGGAGTTGAAATGATCATTATCAAATATTTTATTTTGACGTTTTTCAATTTCAGATGATTTACTTTGCTGGGACAACTCATGTCTTTCCTTCGTTTTCATTCTGGGATTTCGATACAAAGTCTTTTCGTCTACTAAGGAAGGACTGTGAGCAGGAAAATAAACTTCATCAAAATAATTGTCTTTCACATGTCGTTCTGAATTCATATGACTTGTTTCTCTTTTGAAAGACTCATCCAAAGAGAAAGATGTTGTAGGAGAACTGGTAGATTTACTCTCATGATCATCCGTTGCAACAGTCTCAGTGGCAGCACCCACAATACCAGGACCATGCTCTTTGGCACTACCTAGCCTGTTACTCAAGGACTGTTCATGCAACATTCTGCTGATCACAGACGCACTTCGATCAGGATTTTGAACATTAAACACAGATTTGTCATTATTATCAAAAGAAATGCTGCCAAAGGGCATAGAAAAGTCTATTGCTTTTGATTTTGCTGCCAACTGATCTTGTTTTGACTTTGACCTCCGTCGTTCTCTTCGTGACAAATATAGCTCAGACTGCCTGACATTTTTGTCTGCGTTAAGAGGGGACTGAATCCTGACTTGTTGCAACTTAAATCCCTCCGGAATTCCAAAGAAGTCTTCTTTTTCAGGCTCATCAGACCGTGCCCGCTGAAAAGAGGTAGATCTAGATCTAGATCCAGCTCCAGATCTACTACTACTAGATCTAGATCTACTGCTGACACTGTCACTGACACTATTATTATCGTCGGTGGTATACTTCGACCTTTCAGCATCGCTGCCATTCCCATCCCCATTACCAGATCTTTGTGACAGCGCCTTAGAAAGATGAATGTATTTTGTCACTGGAGACCCAAAAGATCTTGATGTGAACACTCTATTCCTGCGCAATGCTGTAATCACAGAACATGGGACATCAACAGCCATAAACAACCTTCTGGGCGCCGCCATCTTGACTTACTTGACTAAGGAACATCACTCTGCTAGCGTAACTAAGTGCTTACTCTGCCTGCTCTGCTTTAAATTTGTGAAAGAGGGGAAGTTACTCTGAATGCGTCCTTAGTCCTTCAACCAACACCAACACTCAACACTCAACAGTTCAACAAGTCTTATTCTGCTTCCAACCGTGACAAGGTCTAGAAATCTAGATTCTAGATCAAAATTCTAGAGTCAGAGGTAAGTAGCCAAGGTTGAAAAAGAATGTTGCGAAATTTTTATAACGAAGCAAGAGAGTGTTCCTTATTTTTGCATTATTAACGTTTTCAAGGACTTCCAGTTCCAGTCCAGTGTCGCCTGCATAGGCTGCAATTTGTCTTTTATTCTTCATTACTAAATCATTACGTTCCCCTGCAACTGCAAGTGCAAGGTAGTCTCCTCTCCAGACAGGGGTAGGCTTAGATCTAGATATCTAGATCTAGATTTAGATCTAAAATCTAGAATTGAAGATTAGCAGACCACTTACCGGCACTAAAAACTGTAACTGTAGCAAACTAGGCTTGTGTGAGTTTAACAGGGGGGTGAACCCCCCTGCACCCCCCTATCTACACCCCCCCCCCTCTTTCTACCAGAGTAGATCTAGATCTATTGTATTGGTGGTCTGCTAATGTTCAAAGAGCCCCTAGATCTAGAATCTAGTCCACTGCTAGTTCTTCAATCTACAATGCAACTGATTTTTATGCGTGTGACCTTTTTTCCTTCTTAGTAGCCGCGCCCCCCTTCCCCCCTTTCTGCCTTCAGGCTGTCACGTTCCGATTTCGAAGGTAGACTCTTGCTCTTTTCTATGATGGGTTTTTTTTTGTGGAAGTGAATATTCTCACCGGGGGTGGGAATAATTTATCGAAGTGACTATTTCTCCGAACGTTCGGAGAAATAGTGCCGATCTTTATTTCTCCGAACGGTTTTCGGCTTCCGGTCTCGTGATTTTTTGCCTATTTATTGCGAGAGTTCGGCGCCAAGTTTCATTCTGCCTCTGGTCTGGGAAGGAACACGTACCGCATGGCAAGCCCGCCTACAGACAACCTTCAGTAACACCCACCACCATCATGCACATGTACACACACTAACTAAACATAACTAGTGGGCAACTTTTGAACGTATGACGAGCTGAACTGTGGATGGAGAGACAGTGTGAGTGAAAGAGCGGGTGAAAGGAAGAATGTGCGAGTGTATCCACAGGCGACAGCAACTACAAGACGACGACACTGACCACCCCTGGCCTGGTCCACAGCTCACGAACAAAAGGAATGCAGCTCAGGCGGTGTTTTGCCTATATTATTGTCCATGGTTCGCAGGGAACAAGTGAGATTTTCTTTGTGTGTGCCTGGAGGGATGGGGTGGGGTATGAAAGTCATGCGGACGGGGATGAGCCGCGGGAGAGAACACGGGAATTGAATGAAAGAGTGAAACTGAAAGAGACGAATGACTCATGAGTCCTGGAGTGAATGGATCCTGTGTTTCTATTTTTGTATACTTTGAACTGTTACTGAATAAAGGCTGAAATAAAGCCCGAAAAACAAACAAACACTCCTCACTCTCCACTTACTACCACACACAGACACACTCAAACACTCACACATACACACACACACACACACACACACACACACACACACACACACACACACAGGAGCAAATTTTTGGGTCTATATCTATTTCAATTTTCAACAGCTAGTCTAGATGAGATTTTTAGATGAGTGTAAAAACGTGAAAAAAAAAGGTTTCACAACAGAAAGAAATCAAAATTAGAACAGCCCATAAACAACAACAAACATTAACAAATAAGGGCGTGTGTCCACCTGTCCGAAGAAGATTGGCAGTTTTAACCCTAAATGTGCGTAATTTTTAAAAAAGTACAGGATATTACATGTAAATTATGGAATCACACACATTAAGGGGCTTGCCAGTGTCAGTAGGACCTACATTGGTCGCAGCAGTGACAAACGCAGATGCCAGTTCTATGTGTCGTTATCAATAACCCTCCGTAGATCTAGATCTAGACAGCACACGAGTGAACACAACACATTACGTTTAAAAGCAGCACCTTTCAAGGCAACACGTCATATCTATAGCGAAAAACTGTTTGGAATTGTAGCATTTCTTTATATAAATATTTACGGCAGACATTTTTTGGACCGATTGAACCATATTGTATACGAACAATCTTTGGTAGGCCCATACTATAATTATATAGATCTATATAATATCCGAAATTTGGGGGAAAGGATGATATTTCAGAGTGTTCGGAGAAATAGTGCCCAGCTTTATTTTCCTGAACGTTCGGAGAAATAGTGCCCAGCTTTATTTTCCCGAACGTTCGGAGAAATAGTGCCGGCCATAATTTATTTTAACTTGTTAGATCTATTCCCACCCTGGTCGGGTCACGTCTCTCCTTTCCTATCTACCTAGAAATCTAGATTCTAGTTTTATAAGATATATATAGATATATAATAATTCAGGCTGAAGGCCAACCTCTAAACCTGGGTATTGAATATTAGACATACACTGGCAGACCTATCTAAGTAAATCTAGTACGCCTCTACAATTTTATGCTGGTGGTCTGGAAATATTGAGTCAAATCAAATGAGAGTGCTGCTAAGGGGGAAAATGTCACTTTCAGGTTTTGAATGCTTTCTGTCGTATCAAATCAATCTCATTGAAAGCAAAGAATAAGGCCAAAAATATGAATGGAAGTAAAACTAAATCATGCTCACAAGAACACATACACACCTTAGTAAAAAAATAGAGTAAAATATTTTTTAATCCCCTCAGGGGGGTGGGAATAAGTTTGAATAAGAGAAATCATATTCCCATCCGGGGTGGGAATAATGGCAATAAAGAAGAGACCCAACCCTGACCCTACCCCTAACCCTAGCCCAAACCCTAACCTAAACCCTCACCCTATCCTCAACCCTAGCCTTAACCTAACCGTGTATTCTATTACATCTATAGTGGTCGCTCGTTATGGAATTCCTCCCAATAAATCTGCTCATGCAGCTTGATCAACTTATTTCCTTGCCATGGATCATTTCATTATAATGTTTTTAATAGAAAACGTTTTTCCATTGAGTAGTAGTCAGGGCTCCCCATTACGCACAGTTGTGCGTTTATTACGCGTTCAACCTGCAGATACCCCCTTTATGTTTTTGGTGGTGCTTAGTCTAGTGTTACTGTTTAAAATTTCATTTCGGGGGTTTGCAAATGTAGGCTACACACGATTAAAAACGAAGGTGGTGTGCGTCTGACAAGCATCATTTTCCACCTTCTCTATCCGGAAGCCGAGTCAATGATTTGACAACTCACCCACACACACAAACAGCAGTCACCTTTTGTCTGTGTCAGAAGCAGTCAACCTAGTTATCAGCTGCGTGCAGTTTCAGGTGTCACTGGCTTGCCTCAGCAAAGAAGCTCCACCCACATTCTGGTCACTTGCATTTGCCTCCGTTTATGCCTTAAGTTAACCCCTCATCCTTCTTTTAACCAGTAAACATGAATTGTCCATCATTTTTACGAAAATTAACTAATCAAAATAATTTTTAATAGTAGTTAGCAACAAACTGATCATTTGGCTATACAAGAATAAGGCATTTTCATTTGATGAAAAGGAAGTGATCCAGGAGGCTTGTGAGATTTTCATGCGGGAAAAAATCGAAAGTCTGGAAAGACTGGAATGTGAACCCTGGGATGGCTCTGAAGAATAATGAGTCAGTTTATTTTCTTTGTGCATTACCGTCGGAATTGACCCCTCGGTTTGTCAACTTTATTTTATTTTTGATTGGCCCGACCACCACCAAGAGCAGAAAGTTTTTCTGTCGCTGTCAAATTTCTAACCCGGGACATGTATTGAATGAGAGTCAAGACACCGTACACTCTAGACCATCGAGAGCACCCATAGTCTAATATGTCTAGGTAATTAAAAGTAGGCCTATATCATCATACTATTTTCATTGCCATGTCATAAAAAACCCAAAAAAGTGTCCTTCACGGCTGTTAACTCCTATCAACCAGAATTTATTTCATGGATTTCCTAAATAACCAATTAAATCTGCAATGTCATTCTCATTCAGCATTCGTGTAAGTCGTGTAAGTTTTTGTATCACTGACTGTTTCGGATCTATATTTACCTTGTTCATCATGCCAAAAAATTAACCATCTTTGAAGCAGATAGTAATATTAAGTACAGAAAAAGTAGATATCTATGTATTGTAAGGGAATTTGATTATATTCTTTTTCTGGAAAGTGATTTGGATTCTAGTTCCAAAATTGTCAATGACACAACCGTGATAATGCATTGCTACTCTCGAAAAATGCTCTTTCAAGTGTGCAACAAATTTTCCCAAACAAAGGAAGTATCATCACATGTCTAATTTGAACTTCACCAATATTATAAAGATGTATTTTAAGTAGGGCCTACTGGAAGGAAATGTGTATTTAATTAGGGGAGGTGAAAACAACATACTCTGTGTCATTCTGACTTTGAAAATTGCACAATAACTCGGCCTGTAAACCAATCTCAATCAGAATGGCGCTACATGGAAACTTCCCTGTGGTCCTATGAGATGCAACCACTGGTGGCAATGTAAAATGACTTAAAAGTAAGACTGACACATGCCATTATCAGAGAGGCTAGGATAGCAGAGAGAGGTGTGAAGTTTCAACCACTGCTTGTGGACCAGACAGGCAACCCTTGATCCCACTTTGTAGAGGCTGGCCCATCTGCACTGCTCAGGGCTCAAATGGATGAGGTGACAGCTACCGGCAAGCCATACCCCTTCTCCCGTCTTCATTTGGTGGCATGGTTGGAGTTGATGGGATCAGGACAGAGCAGTCAAAGCATTTTCCATCTGTGACAGGTCAAAACACCTCAGAAAGGAAGGAATTTTTCCTTCGTTTTCCAAGTTGAGCAAGTTTCCGTTTTATGGAGTGATTAAAGAGGAATTTTTCATGAGGAAGCGAAGGTGTTATGATATGTTTTAATCTTTGGCAGGTTTCTATTAAGGCAGGTTTGATTACTGTAGTCGCAACTTTGGGATCAGAGAAACACATAACTTTCCCATACTGTGCTGCAGCAAAAACTGGCTCTCTTGAACCAGTATTCTTTTCCTAACAGATGTGCTGTTTCCAGATCAATTTGTTGACAAATTTTTAAGTTTTTAAAAAACATGATGTATGGTATTTTTAGAGCAGTTCCCGAAGTGGAAAATGGTTAAAACCCTTTCAGGCCTTTCCTCGTCACATTCTTTGCCCACAGTGGCTGCTCGTTTGTTCAGATTTCTGTGCACTTAATAACCCTCTGATGTTTACATTCTTTTATTTTTCTCTTAGCTCCAATAACGCTTTTCAAAGGTACAGTGTCAGTTTGTTACCTATCACATTGTGTTTTATGATCCCTTCCTCCAGGCTGCCACAAGAAAAAGGGCCACTTCCTGTGCTACCACTTGAAATATGTCTTCTTTCCGACCTACTTTATTTCAGACAGCGGTTAAGGATTTAAAAAGGTGAACTATTTGACTTTTTAAATTACAGAGTGCTGGGTTCATCGTTAAGTTAAAACTATTGTGATAATAGTAATTATCCTATTTCATGATCTTTTGAAATTTACTTTTGAGAGATACTTCAGATGGCCTATCAGGCTATTTTGTAAGATGCTCTGTTTGCTGTGTTACCTGATGATTGATTCCGACAGAGGCTGTAAAGAAAGATATTTTTAATTGTAAAAGAATCGTAAAATTATGGTACTTTGGTATTATGAGCGAACAAGTTTATCTGCAGAGAAACCTGTGTTTTTACTCATTTGGACACCTTAGCCACAACGTCCAAGGTATTATTTTGATGTACTGTGCTTCTTCTATTTTGACTTTAATATTCCAATTATAAGACTATTCTGTCTATCCTCATTCAAACATTAAAACATATTTAATTTACATTTGGTCTCGCTAAGCTGATATGAAAATGCATTGAAATGCCAATGTTGCTGCCATACTGTGCTCATGAGTGAAATGTTCACTCTGACCACTTTGTACGAAAGCTTGATCAAATTTCCTGTCTTTATTTTCTCTTAGTGGCATGGCAGAGGGACTCAAAGAATCTGAATATGTTCTCTTTCAGTAGGCTATGTTATTAATTCACTGAGCTCTTGTCTCTAATTTGCATTCTGATAGCTTGTTTCAGTGGTAAATTCTTATGAACTCAGTCCAAACATGCGATTGTCTGTCCAGCTGATGCTATTGTTGTCTCAGTTTTATCACTGGGCTTTGTTTTGTTTAATATTGGAGGAATAGTGTCATGTAAGTACCAAGACTTATTTGAATGGAGGACAATTCATCTTAAGTGGTACGTTTGATTTTTATGTTGTTTTATTTCTTCTTCTTTTTTTTTCAGGCTTAAATATTTAAGTCCTTCAAGATGGGCTTCCAGTGCAGGTAAGATGATTGTCATTATATTTTTTAATGTGGATATCATTTTGAGATGGTTCATGCTCATTCAATTCTGCTAAAATAGTTGAAGAGCATTGATTGAATTTGTTCAATAAGTACTTGAAATTTGATATAGAATATCCCTGCTGAATATATTAGAATTGAAATGTCTGTTTATGCAATGATAACTTGCATGTGTTAGAATGATCCTACTGAAAATGAAAGGTTGATTTTTTACACTGAATGTAGTTCTATCATAATTTACAATATTATATGAACTGACCTCTTCTCTTATCATACATGTTTTCCTTTCAGAACAATATATCCCTCATTTTTATTAGTGCGTGATATACAAAATTATGAAGGCAGGGTTATTTATACTGGGATTTTGGGGGAGGATGGTTGTCGTTTAGACCTCAGCTATGAACAGTGCTAATTTTTTGTCTACTTTGAATTTTCTTTGTTTATTTTTTTTGAGCTGATTTACTTCTTATCTCCTTTCTTAAATCATAAATGTTCTTCGCTTTGCTTGTACCTGTATATTATTTGTTTATTTTTTCCCTAGTGGCCTACAAACCAATCGACAAAGTGCTCATTGCCAACCGTGGCGAGATAGCATGTCGTGTCATGCGTACAGCACAGAGGCTGGGCATACAGAGTGTGGCAGTGTACAGTGACGCCGACCGACATTCCATGCATGTGGCGATGGTGAGATTACTTCAGTTTGCTCGTCTTACATTTTTTTTTGTTATTGACCTTAGTTTTCCTAAGAATGTTCGGGGAAATTTTGCTGGTTGGGTTCACAGCTTCACTTGAGTAGTAGAATATATTCAAAAGGGAACAATATCCTTTATATTGTGTAGTACGAAGTGTCAAAAGAAATAAAATGCATAGAAAAAAATTATTCTTTTAAAGAGAATACAAAATTATGAAGGCTGTTTTACATTGTAAAAATGAATTGTTTGCAACTGACTTGTTTCCATTTTACCTTATGGGATCTTTCTATTGAACCCTAAGCTCCTTGTGCTATGAGTATGATCATATAATATCATATAGATCATTGAAAGAGGCACATGACAGGAAAAGAGGAAAGGTTCTGTTTTCACTTTTCTATTTAGTTTGTAAGTTTGTTTGTTTTGTTGTTGTTTGTTTTGTTTGGGGTTTTTTTGCGGGGGGGGGGTTAATTTTATTATTTGTTTCAGGATTATAGCATGAACGATTTATGTTTGACACATGTAAGTACTGTATGCACTGATGATAATAATGTTGAGGTAAGCGTTTTGTAAAACATGAAGAAAAAAGTCAGTACGATACTCAGAGTGTCTGTTTTTATTTGTTTCTTTGCAGGCTGATGAGGCATACAACATTGGTCCCCCAGCTGCCTCAGAGAGTTATCTGAGACAAGACAAAATCTTGGAAGTTGCAAGACGTTCTGGAGCTCAGGTATGACATGTGAATGTATTAGTGTGTGTTTATTGTTGAAGATCTGTAAAGATCATGATATGAAAATGTCAAGAATGGTGTAAAAGAAGGTTTATTTTTGTTTGAAAAGTAATTCGTTTTAACATTCATTCAGTTATCAGGACTTGGTGAATCCATAACTGTACTCACTGCAAAAGTTTAGACATCTTTGATAGTGATGTAAAAGCAGCCTTGTTTCTTGTCTTGTCGTGCTAAAATGATTTCAGGATGAAAATTCACTTATGGAGTCATCTATGTCAAGTAGTGAATTGATATAAAATATCTGAGTATTGAAGCATGATTACATTTTTTTGGTGAGTTTCTTTGAGTATTTATCTTCATGTAGTTTTTCGTCGAATCACAGTGTACACATTGTACGTGACGTTAGATTGACAGTTGGAAGTAAACAACTGACCTGGTATGGCTTGTTGTGTGAGATAAGATTTTATATTACAGTGATGTCCACTTAACAGCAGCAAAGATGAGAGCAACCTGCGTCCAACAGCAACCTAAGCTTGTGTAACGGAATTATTTGCTATATAATTAACCCCTTTTAATAGCCATGAAAGAAGCTGCATGAAGACAACCTTGAGACCATCTTAAGCTAAATTGACCGTCTCCATAGATGAAAAGAGCCATATAATCATTTATTTAATAGCAACCTTTTCCTCTGACAGCAATCCTTCTTTACTATAAATTATCAGACGAAATCATCGTCTTTGAAGTTTACAGCCCCCACGCTCCCCTCCTTTTGGAAAATTCAGTTAGCAGCAACATCTTAACAACAGCCAAGATCTGCTTCCCAAGGGGGTTGCTGTAACCGGGCACTACTGTAATTCTTACTCAAAATTGAAAAAGTTCAATGTCAAAAAGTAAGAGTATTATTGAAAAAGAATATATGGCTTTCCGAAATGCAAGGGACTTTACTACTTCTACTTTGCTGTTTGAAAATAAGCTGTGAATAGAAACTTCAGCTTTTGGTTGTATTGTTCATGATGAACCTAAGGTCAGTTGGGGTCCAAGAGATCTTGGAGGGGAGAGCTGTAGAAGGCAAAAAAAGGAGAAGGAAAAAACCTCTTAGGCGAAATCCAATCTACAGGTGTCATACTGTATAGTACAATTTATCATGTGTGTTGTTTTTTCCAGGCCATTCATCCTGGCTATGGCTTCCTGTCAGAAAATGTGGAATTTGCTGAGAGGTGTGAGCAGGAAGGAATTGTGTTTGTTGGACCCCCTGCTTCAGCCATCAGAGACATGGGCATTAAAAGGTGGGTAGCACAAGATGGAAACTGGGGTTTCTGTGAAGTGATTAGAAAAGAAAAGAAAAAAACTACTCTAAGCTAGTTATTTTTTAAGGGATATTGTCACTTCAGTATGCCAGTGGTTTTTTACTGCAAAATTGAACTGAGTACTTTGGAGGGGTTTTTAGGTGAGCTCATTACTTCTAAACTTACAAGTTTTATATAACCTGTCATTATAATTTTTGGGGGTTCTTGTGTGAGATTTATTCACGGTAATCATGCCATTGATGTAAAGCGCTCAAAGCTTAAATTTGAAAGGGAAAGAGAGCCATAAAAAAGGAATTTATTATTACTGTTGCTAATTATTTTTGGACTTTTTTATCGTGCTCAGCACATCGAAGCACATCATGTCAGCCGCAGGAGTCCCCATCATCCAGGGATATCACGGAGAAGAGCAATCAGTGGAAAAGTTGCGAGAGGAAGCTGCTCGCATTGGCTACCCTATTATGATCAAGGCTGTTAGAGGCGGGGGTGGAAAGGTAAGCTATGCCTGTTCATGGGTGGTTGGAGAGTACTGCTGGTAGTTATGATTTCTTTCATACCGGTATTGGGGTGGGGTTTTTTATATTCAGTCACCGCTATGGCTTTACCTCAGGGTAAAAAAACCTTTGTGCTCCTCTGCCCTCTTTATTTACTATCTAATAAGCCAACTGAGTGCATTCAACTGACAGATGATATCATGCTCGTCTATTATATGGGTAATTCCGTTCTGAATCCCAACAAGGGAGTTATCATGGCCCTCCATCCTCTTGGCTGAGTCTTAACAGTGATGCATTTATAACCTCAGGTCTTCACTTGACTGAGTTGTAAATGGCATGTTGTTCATTCATTATCATGCCATTCCCAGTGTGTGTGTACGTTTACCTCTTGTTGCATGTTGATTATATGTTGGATTGTACATGTTTTCTCTCTCCTTTTTTTGAAATGTTGTTTTTCCTTTACTTCTCATATATCTTGCTTTTTCTGTTTTTTCTCTACCTTTAAAGGTCTAATATATTAGTCTTAACGTTTCTCTGTCATGGTATTTTTTTTATGAAACAGTAAATGACTCCTACTTTGTCGATATATTTTTAGAACTCAATAAAGTCAATCCTATGGCCATTTATGAAAGATTTTAAAAGCCGACCGCTGTATTTTTATGTTTTTTGTTACTGCCATATTATTGATGTCTACTTTGTGGAAAGTGTATTCTCAATTTTAAATTGTTTCTGGGGTTGATTTGTTTATTGTTATGTCAAGATTAGTATTATTTTCTGTCTTTTCATAGTGTTGGTACTTGGTACTTGATGGGTGATCATGTGTGGTCTGCTTCTTATAATTCTGTCAGATTCGCAATTGTACTTATCTCTATTGTGTGAAATGTAGCAGTTATCTTACAGACTGGCTGTGACAGTGACTAATTTATTTACTTTTTAAGGAATAATTGTTTTTCAAATTCAAATTCCAGGAATCAGGTCTTTTTTACTGCATCAGATCATGAAAATGTCTTCAGAGGATTTTTGTTATCAGCTGAAAATATTGTATTCAGCCATAGTTAATGTTCATTTTGTTTTGTATTTTGCACCATTTCCTGTTATGATACAAATGAAATATTGTTCTCAATTTGTTATTCACCAGGGAATGAGAATCGCTATGACCGAGGCTGATTTTGAGGAGCAACTTCAGTCTGCCAAGACAGAGGCCATGAAAGCTTTCGGTGACGAAGTAATGCTGCTGGAGAAGTTTGTGGAGAATCCCAGGTGAGTGTGTCAATACGTATGTTTCTATATGTTTGGTATGTGTGTGAGTATGTATGTTTGTCTAGATGGGATTACTATTTCAACAATAGCAGCAGCTACCACATTAACTCATAATTTGTGCTTTGAAATTTGGAAGCAAAATGTTTCATTGATTTACTAAAGTAAGAACCCTGAATAGTCAAAAGCAAAACTGCAATGGGTTTCAAGACTCTGTTCTTTACCTGTAAGGTATGAGAACAAAGTATTTTTTTTAAAGTTCTTTTGACACTGGTAGGTTGATGAACTCTTTTTTCGTCTTGAGTTTTTTTTCCTGTCTTTTTTAAAGGGGGATGGATATGGTTATGCTTTATTTATTCAGCCTCGTAAGAAATGTACATTGTGTTGTAGTTGGAATCACTCTGACTAAGAGAAAATGTTGAGCATTTCTGTGTGCGTAATAGTGCACATTTTTCAGAAAATTGATTACTAGCTTTTCTTTCTCCTGATGTTTTAAGTTTTGAATATATAAAGGTGTGAATGACTGAAGGAATGAGTGAGTTATGCTTTTAACAGATGTCATAAGATGGTAGTCAAAAGAAATGATGAGAAGTCAAATCCAGTCCCAAGATGAAAAAGAAGAACATAGCAATAAAGAAGGCCTGTGTATGCAACTCTTCAGGAGACAAAAGGTGGATCTACAGAGTGCAGAATATCAATCATTTTCTTGCACTCGTAGCTACTGGTATTTTCAAGCATCGGTCTAATTAGCTGTGTGGGTGGCGAAGGAAGATTCTATTCGAAGGAGCCATGCCGCGGCATTGGTTGACCAGAATGCAGAGGGGCCTTAAAGGCAACCGCTGACACAGCAGATGATGATATAGTTAGGCTATGAATAGCTTGAACCAGTCCAAGTATTGCTTCCTCAATATTCATTATTGACGATTTGTTGTGGAGCCGGTACGTTGCGGTAATTAGTAATAGTATGCCAACAAGCGTGCCTCGATGTCGGAGGTTTAGCGAGGCAGAGCAGAACAGCAGTCGACTACTAGATCTAATTATACTAAGCCACGAAACGTTTTAGGTCTACTCACCTCGGGATCACCAATGTGGGAATTCAAGAACTAGTATCTACTTTCTAGATCTAGTATCAGCTACATGAGCGAGCTAGGCTTCACTCACTCAACACCGACTGAGAAAACAAGTTCAAACCTGGAGCCTTGGTTGTTGTCATTGTGACTACCTTATTGCGCATTCACACACCAAGGAAGTTGCTAGTTTCAAATACACAGATACTAAATGTTTGAACAGTGCTCTAAGCAAGTTTGTCATACAGCTTGGGACGTGAGACATGACGATAACAAGGATAGAAACCACACTATCATCACAGGACATGAATATAGTCCACGGCAGAGCAAACACTACAGTCTGTTGTGATGTAAAATGGCCTGTGTGGGCATAATATTTCTTTTCTTTTGTATTGAATGACTAATAGCTTTGTGCACAGTTACAGAGAGAGAGAGAGAGAGAATATTTTACGGTGCGGATTGTTTCAGCACGTGAGTGACTGATAGCTTTGTGCACAGTTACAGAGAGAGAGAGAGAGAATGTTTTTCGGTGCGGGTTGTTTCAGCATGTGAGATACTAATATCCTGTCTTGTTGCACCTAACCTTTGTAACATCCACTGATTTTGTAAACGACGTAGACAAATTTCTCCCTGCGAGATGAATAAAGATTGTCATTGTCATGATTATCAATGATTTACAGGCATGTTGAAGTGCAAGTGTTTGGGGATCGCCATGGCAACCATGTGTATTTGTTTGAGAGAGACTGCAGTGTGCAAAGAAGACACCAAAAAGTCATTGAGGAAGCCCCTGCTGTATGTATTTTTTTGTTGTTACTGTCATAACACTATTATTATTATTTTGATAGTGCTGTGCTCGATATTTTAAAACGTGAGCATTCTTCTTTTTTTTTTAACATAACCTTCAGCAAATTTGTCACTTTCTAAATTAACCCTTGCATAGCTGGCGAACAGAGTGCTCAGTGGGCACCGAGACCATTATATTTTTTGTTGGTGGTGTTTTTTATTTAAATGTTCTTGTATTTGTTTGAATATTTTAGCCACAAGGAACTTGTGTCATTTATTGCCAGTGAACAGTTTGCTGATTCAGAATGAAGAAAATGTGGAAGGATAATTGGTTTGGATTTTGAAAGAATCACAATTTGGAAAGATTCTGTGAGTTTCCTCCTGTGGTGTAACGGCAGAGGTTTCCCTGTCTTCTGTGTAGTGTTTTAATGGTAGGTGTTGATGTCGCTGTGTGACTGGCAATACTTTTTTTGTCTTCATCAGTCTTTTAAACCCTTAAGGCAGTTAACCAGCACAGTCTGTATTTCTCAACATCCCAACAGGCCATTTAACCAGCCCAGAGCATATTTCACGATATCTTATCAGGCTGATGCAGCATTCTAGCTATCCAGGGATTGGGATTTTTTTAACATTTAGAGTTCGGGGGATTCAGCTGCAATTAGACTGAAGGATTTAATTAGCGTCTTTAGTTTGTGTGTACAAATATACCGACATGCTGAAGTTCACTCCTCACTTTAAATCAGCCCCAGACTCTTCTAGTGTTTCATTTCCTTTCTCCTGCCACTTGCCCAGACTCATCGCCTTGTAATTTCTTCTCTTCCACTGACCAGAAATGTATACCCTGGGGTTGGCATGTATGCAATTTAATCATTCTTTCTTTTCCAGCCTGGATTAACAGAAGAAGTGCGTCGCAGCATCGGAGAAGCTGCTGTGAGAGCTGCTAAGGCTGTGGACTATGTCGGTGCCGGTAAGTTGTTTATGATATGTTTTTTGTTCTAACCCAGTTGGATGGTGGACACTCAGATGTGGTCTGTTTGTTTTACCTCTTTTCAGTGTTTCTAGTGGGTGGTTGGCGGGTGCTCTGGTGTGGTTTGCTCCTCTTTCCTATCAAACATCTATCGTCTTTATCTCCCCTTTTTCTTTTTTGTGTTTTTTACTTTTGTAACACCTCTAATGCTCGACACTTATATGACCTTATTGTGTTGCAAGTGCCGTAAAACAATTACAGTCGAACCTATGTAAGATGGAATCGCAAGGGAGCCAGAAAAAAATTCCGTCTTAGACAGGGGAATTTAGGGGGAGTAGACATTTTCCGTCTTAGACAAGGGAATTTAGGGAGAGTAGGGGGGGGGGGGTTCAAAGGCCCTGCCGGTGGGATCAAGGATCACTTGTCCGATCGGCAAGCAGTGGTCAAAACTTCACACCTCTCAGCTGCTATCCTCTCTGATAATGACATGCGTCAGTCTTACTTTTATCCAATTACCACCAGTCTTGCCTTTCATATGACCACTGTTTGACCTATTAAAACAGGAACGTTTGAACATCTCCTTTGCTTCCACCCTTAGTCCCACCCACCAATGCCACCCCTCACTGCCATCATGTAACAACGATTCGAGGAACTCTTTTCTCGGCTGGCATTGGTCAATCTAATTTCACTCCTCTGTCTTCTGGCTACCCAAGAAAGTTTCCGTAGTGGCTCGCAACTCGAGCACTCTCACGGGCAGTCGTGAGATTTCACACCCACACTACTCTGACCATCTGCATCGCTCAGGGCTCACATGATGGGGTAACATTTACCCCCAAATTACACCCCTACTCCCCTTCCTCGCCCAGTGGCAAGGCCATAGCATTAAGTTTAGAGCCGTCGGAACCAAACTTGCGAGTTTTGTTTCAAATCAGGGTTGAGCCGGCAAAGCATTTTCCGTCTTAGACAGGTGAAACCCTCGGAAGGGAGCAGATTTTTCTTTCCGTTTCCGCATTGGACAGGTTTCCATTTTATACAGGTAATTAAAGAGGAATATATCAAGGGGGGAGCGGGGAGATTCCGTTAAGACAGGTTTCTGTTTTACACAGGTTTCCGTTAAGGCAGGTTCGACTGTACTAAAACTAAAACGAGTCTTTCTTTTTTTCTGATTAGCTTTCTGCCGAGTGTCAGCCATGCCCTGCGGGCTCACCGTTTTCTTCGACAACAGCCTCTTCCTCTCTCACTATTCCTTTATTATTGCTAGAAAAAAATTGTGAAAATATTTCTGCATATTGCACTGAATCTTGCTGCTTCAAAGAGATTTATTTCAGTTTGCCAATAATAAATTTTTTTTACAAGGTTTGGTATTTTGAGAATTTGGTGCTGTCTGTATGTTCGCTTAAGTTTGTTTTTATGCACACTGATTCCATCTTAGATTGTGATCCGACTGGATGATTCATTTTGGTCGTTACACTGTTTCTATTATACATTAGCATATCTTGAAATATTAGTTTAAATTTGTAGCTTTGCTCTCCAAAGAAATTACTAGTGATAAGCAGGTATTGTGTAAGAGTGTGGTTCTTTATTAGTGTTCTGACCACTTCTCTTGTTTTTGCTGTATCATAACCTTGCCGTGGGTGGTTGGTGGGTGCTCTGCTCCTTCTTTCCTAACAAACATCTATCGTCTTTATCTCCCCTCCTTCTTTTTTATGTTTGTTTCTCCCTTACAACACCTCTAATCTTCGGCACTTATATGACCTTATTGTGTTGCAAGTGCCGTAAAACTCTTATGAAAAAAAAACAACCTTGCCTGTCACTGTCCTCTTTGGTATAGTTGATGACCGAATTTATGATTTCTTAAATAGATGAATAAATGAAGGAGTGAATAAATCAATGCATGAATGAGTGAGGTTGTTAAAGGGTAAATAAATGCAATGAATAACTCATAAATGAGTAAACAAATATTTAAAGAAATAAAAGAGTGAATGATTGTATAAAGGAATGAGTCTGTCGATGCAGGTAAATAAATTTTAAAAATATAAATGAATTCTTAAAAGCTCACCCCACCCCTCCATTCTTCCACCAGGCACAGTGGAGTTCATCATGGACAAGAACCTGGATTTCTATTTCATGGAGATGAACACTCGGCTTCAGGTGGAGCACCCAGTCACTGAGATGATCACAGGCACCGATCTTGTCGAGTGGCAGCTCAAGGTCAGTGAAGACAAGTGACGATGTGACAAAATCGAAAGGGGGATGATACTCAACAGATGTTTCAATCTGAGGATGTTATTTAACTCTTATCCTGAGTCTGTGCCCAGATGCGTATCTTATCAGCAACCCATTACGTCGGACGTGCCGGGCAGGCCGCCGGGGTCACTCAGTGTGTACTGTTGGTGTACAGCGCGCGCGCCGGGAAATGTGTGTTTTCGCCATGAATACCGCGGGAGTGTGTTAACTGATGATGAAAATAACGCTCTATCCTTCATAGCTTTCTATTTATAAAGTGTTACAAACACATGAATAACCCCCTCTCACAAGCTGATAAGACATTACGAGTAGTTACGCCCATTTGAATAACCTTTCTGGACGCTCTTGTTGTTATGAATGACCTGAGGTTCGAAAAGGGATAATTTAGGTCAATTTCCAAATGTTTTACACTCAAATTGTTCTTTGTACCTGCACAATGGTATAAAAAACTATCAAACAAGCTCATTTTTTATCAGGTAGTATCATTTCATGCAAAATCAAGCTCATTTGAAATATTTTGTATAGAAAAATGGAAGTCTTGTTTCCTGACTATCCATTCGAGCTCCTCATGTCTAAGTGGGTCAATTTCTTTTATAAATTGGACGAACATCTAGAGCTATCAACTTGGCATGTTTTGAATGAGACGTATGCCTCGATTACGAACCAACGCAGGTGGTTCTAGAAGAAGGCCACAAACGCACTCAAACTCAAGCAGACTGACGCACACACACTTGACCTGCGTGAATGGGGTTCCGACTCGGGACCCGAATGACACGTAAGAGGCTGCGTGTGCGCTGAGCCAGGGGCTACACTGATTCGGGACCAGAACGCAGGCGAGGTGCCGAAATAGGCTTATCGGGCTACATAAACCCGGCTCCCGCAGGATGAGGGTTAAGTTTGTGATTTTGTAATTCTTAGTGGACGAAAGCCTTTGACCCTATCCGTATGTCGTGTTTTTCTATCGTATCCATACGGCGTGGGGAACTCTGTGCCACCACTTTCCAAAGAGGAAATTTACTCGTTAATCAGATCGGTACGCTTTGCATAGCTGTCTGTCAAAATGATTCTTTGAGATATACTGAAAGATTCAAAGAGATCTTCGCTCTAGAAGTATTCTAAAATGTAAAGAATACAACCCCGGGGGTACAAAATGACCCCAGGGCATACGGATAGGGTTAATGAGCATTAATCTCCTTTTGGGAATTAGATTGGAATAACAACTATTTCTTGCAGTTGCACCTTGCGCTGACCAGCTTTTCATAGTGTCTGTTATAGTAAGACTTTATTTCTCTCTCAGCAAGCACTTTGGCTTAGCAATTTTTTCATAATTTTGTTTATTGTCGTATATTTTATTAATTTTTCTTCCATTTTTTAAAACTCATTTAGAGCTTGTACATTTTTTGTCCGTAATTCCAAATGTACCGTCCATCCAATATTATTAATGAATGGTATCTCTCGGTGTAGGAAAGATTGAGTATTTAATAACCCAGAAATGTCACATGCCCCCACAGGTGGCAGCTGGAGAGAAGATCCCACTGCAGCAGGAAGAGATCACTGTACAGGGTCACGCATTTGAGGCCAGGATTTACGCAGAGGATCCGGACAATGGCTTCATGCCCGGGGCAGGGCCACTGCTGCATCTGAGCACTCCGGCTCCTGATGCTGACCTACGAATTGAGACTGGAGTCCGGCAGGGTGAGGCACAAAAGGGATATGGGAAAAAAAGAGTTTCATTTATCTCCATTGGGAAACTGTGGGTTTTCTTACAAGTTATGTACTGAAATATCTTGGGTCAAGATGAATATATTTTTTTTTACTGAGTGATGATCTGCATTTCAGGGCTCCTTTTTTATCAAAATAGTGTTCCGGTAACTGTTCTGTTTGTTTAGAAATACTATTTCAAATAGTAATTGCAACTGACACACTGTTCGGAAGTAAATCAGTCTTTAGCTATTTCTGCAATAGACGCCTTCTTTACTCACTACACTTTGCTAATATAGATTCTTAAGTCACAACAATCATGGAAACAGAAAAGGATGCACAGGACAGGCTTCGCTTGAGTAATGTTGCTGATGGCCTATACTCTACTGGGAGTTAAAAAGGGCAAGAGAGAGAGAAGTCACAACAATCTCTTATACATAGCATCATATTGTTGTTATTATGCAAGTTATTCCACTATTGTGCCATCCTGTTTTAGAATCTGGGTTAGTATGCCATGGGCAAGGAAACACCTTGTTGACCACTTTTATAAATGTAAAGCCATGCCGCTAGTATTTTTTAATGTTTTTTGTGAGCCTGTGTTCACCAACCACTCAACCATAATAGAGAGCCTCAAGTTGAAGGCCATATTTCTATCCAACTGGTGAACATGGCTACAGATAAGTCTGTTTGTACCTCAGTGTTAGCTTAAGTCTGGTCTTTGTTGTTGTAGCTGTTACTGGTCAACCTGTGCTCAAGCTTTTATCTTATGGTCCTCTGCTAGGACAGAAGACAGGCTTCAATATCAAGTAAACACTGTATTTTTTTTTTTTAACATAAGCTGCTCAGTTTCATGCTACTTTTTATAATAATTAGTTTGATTACTAAAGTACTTTGTGAGTGTCATTTAGAGAATGACTTTCTTTCCTTCCCTTTATTTTTTCAAAGTAATTTTTAATGAAAAAAAGTAAAAGGTGTGAAAGAGTTCTTGGAGTCAGTATCTCAAGTTTTTTGCTTTTTGTTATTTATGGATCCATGTTTTGCTCAGTGCTGTTTGACTACAACTTACAAGTCAGGTGTGGAGTTGCTCTGTCTACTATGCTTTCTATGTCTAGCTGCCGTTTCTGTTAGCTTTCAATTCAAGTGCATGGCTCCAATCTAAAAGACTCAAGTTTTTTTGTTTAGTTTCTACTTTCCCTTTTTCTTTGATGAAATATTTTATGGCTAACTTTCATATGAAGAGTTTCTCGAAAAAACGCAAAATATCCATTTTTCCGGTTTTGAGATAAGTGAAGATTTCAGTTCTCCACCTATTTACTTAATAATCAGCAGCTTTGTTTTTAGAGTACATTTGATGTGAGGCTTAGATAATATTTGTTGTATAGTATAATGAAACCATTGTTTGATTCTTATCCTTTGAATTAATGAGATTTCCATACAATTTTGACAAAATGCGACACTTCCACATTTAAATTATTAAGAAAGGAAAGAATCGCCAGCAAAATTTCATCAACCCTAAGTGAAGTCCTGTGGCTCAAAAAAGAAAAAACAAACTTGATTGGCACACAGAAGATATTTTGCAGTTGGTCATAAAAGGTCTACTGCTGTCAAGTTTTTTGTTGTTTTTTTTAAAGCGTCGCGTTATGCAGTTTTTTTTAAAGGAAAATCGCATTTTCTGAAAAAAGAAGTTGACTTTGGAATGTGCCGCACCCTTCTAGCTATAACGATACTAGTTTCAGCCAAACTAAAAAAATATTGTTATCTTTGTATCTCTTGGCCAGGTGACGAGGTGTCAGTCCACTATGACCCGATGATTGCCAAACTGGTCGTGTGGTCTGACGACAGACAGTCAGCACTCAAGAGGACTTTAGCTGCTTTGAAGGACTACCATGTAGGTCATAAGTTTTATTTTGTTCATTTGAACTTTGTGTGATTGTAAATGAAGATTACTAATACTAGTTATGAGATGACTCATGCCAGTTATGTGATTCTTTTTATCACCCTTTTTTAAAAATCATAGCAGAAATTTTGTTTACAATGCAATGTAAATTAACTTTCACAGCATGTAGTATTAGAGTACAGAGCAACAAACGCCATTGCTAGTCACCGCAATGCAATACCCTACTTTGAGCAAGGTGTTTTGGTCAAAGAACCACCTCATTGATCTCCCCTCTAACCACTGCTGCTCCAACATTACTGTCAGCTCAACTGCTGTGACCCTTGTGCCTTGTTATGGAATGTGAATAAAAAGTTTTTCTTGCTCTTTAAAAAAAAGTAAATACATGTAAATGCTCTCCCACTAGAGGTTATGACACAGAACAACAACTACAATGATTTCAGTTGTTTTTGAGAAATGGGATGGAGATGCTAATTTTTTTAAATTGCATAATTTTAATTGTTGACAAATGATTTCGCAGTATGTTTTTAAAAGATTATGTTTGTCATCGAGTTATAAATGTGAACAAATTGCCTCATACTTGTCCCACCCCACTGCACTGTAGTAAAATACATGAAGTATGTTTACCAAACCCATGTGAGTGGATGGTTGGCGGGTGCTCTGGTGTGGTTGCTTCTTCTTTCCTATCAAACATCTATCGTCCCTATCTCCCCTTCTTCTTTTTTATGTTTGTTACTCTCTTGTAACACCTCTAATATCCTACTGGCACTCATATGACCTTATACAGTTGCGAGTGCCGTAAAACTCTTACTAAAACAGAACAAACCCATCATGTGTTGTCTTTCTCTGGTGGCAGGTCGTGGGTCTCAGCACCAACATCCAGTTCCTCATGGCCCTGTCCTCTCACCCGGCGTTCCAGGCGGGCGATGTGGACACAGAATTCATCCCTCGATATCAAGAAGAGTTGTTCCCCCCTCGCAGCCTGTCGGCATCGGCCCTGTCACATGCGGCTATTGCCATGACTGTCGCGCACCGTGCCAGAACCAGTGATGACATGCTGTTAAGCAAAGGTAAGTAGCCTTTAGTATACACAGAAACGAGAGAAAAGGGGGGAATATTTGGATATGGAAAGAAATAGGAAAGTGAGGAATGATGGAGAAAGAGAGAAAGTTATTGGAGAAAGAAAATGACAATATTTTTATTATTAAACATGTATGCATAATTTTTGGCATTGGACAGGAAATTGTGCATCAGGATATAAAGTTTTTAGAGTCTTCATATTTTGTCTGTTTTTATCTTGTAATTTATTTTTTATTTTTTGCCTTGCCTCATCACTCTCATCCTAACTGGTCCATAACATTTTCCTTTCATTTAGTTCTTATCAACCTGGTCCTTTTTTTTTATCTTGTTCTCACATATCTTATTTCTTCCTCCAACCCTTCAGTGAGAAGAAGCACTATGAGTTACTGTGTTCAGCTATTTCAGCTGTTCATTAAAGCAGAAGAGACACACTTATGGTCAGCGTCTACAGCAAGCTCACCTATGTTTAGATATCCTTAATCTAAAATGTCAAATCAAATGCACATGTAACAATGTTTGTTATTTTAAATGTTCTTTTTTTGTAACTGTTCCTCTTAATCCTTCTAGAGAAAAAAATTAAAAATTATTCATTAACAGCAGTTTATAGGGCAACATTTATTTCATAGACTAACTGCAAATCTCTCCTCACTGCCATGTCTTGTATTTGGCCAATTGAACCAAAGTTGTTTTCAAATTGGTATAGAATCAAATAATGAAAATCTTAAACCCCTCAAATATGGTTTACCAATTGGCAGCATGGCTTACATCATAAACTAACGGATTCAAGCTTTAAAATGTTTAGAAAGCTTGTTTTATAGTGTATAAGAAGTCCTTCAAGATGCAAAGAGTCATGATTAATAATGACACTTCCTCTTCTTCAGATTGCTACTCTCCTTTTGGACTGAACTTCGGAGTTCGTGTCAACGCAGCACCATCTTTTGTTCTCCGACTGAAAGATGGTGACACTGGTAAGTATTCTTTTGATGGCAATGAGATGAGAGTAGAAATGAAAAGTTTTTTTCCAGTTGATTCCAGTTCAGGCTGATGCTTCTTAACAAAGAGATTAAACTGTTTTGAATTATTTCTCTCTCTCTCTCTCTTCTGGCGCTGTGGCGTCATAAGCGGTCAGTGATGCCGACAGCACACAGGGACTCAACACTTGCTTGGGGGTCCGTAAAAAGTGTTGAACATGGGTCACTGAAATGTCCCAGTAGACGTGTTCTGGCCCTGTAGTTGGCGCGACATTTCAGGAACATGTAGTCCATAATCTCGTCCTCCTCCCTGTAGGCTCGACAGGACGGACCTAGGTCTATTGTTCTGAAAACATAATGTTTAAAAAGAATAAGGGGCATGATCTCAGCTGAGCTCAGGTTTTATACTTGAAAACAGACAGCTGAAAGTCACAACTTCTTGAACTGGAAAATCAAAACCAGTCTCAAGATGCAAGAGGAAGACTTAGCTGAGAAGACTTTATGCAACACATAAAGAGATAGGGCAGCTAGAAAAGGATGCTCAGGACAGGCTTCAGCTAGAAAAATATTGTTGATGGCCTATGCTCCACTGGGAGTTAAAAGAGGCAAGAAAGAGATAGGGGCCTATACATTACTTTTACCAATTTTTCTCACCCCCAGAACATAAACTTAGCCTGACAGAGGGTTCTGCTGGAACTTGGCAGATCGGCATCAACGACGAATCCCCTCTGATGGTCAGTGACATCAGCGTGTCAGAGGTTGCTGATGGCAAACTGACAGTCAAGTGTTGTGTGGATGGAGTTGTCTCCTCCTCCACTATCCTGCTCATGGGGGACTCAATACATCTGTTCACTGTGGTAAGTCACCACGATTTATAGGTTTTGTTTGTTCATCTGTCTGTTAATCAGTCTGTTTTCTGACTTGTTCATAGAGAATGATTCTGTTTGTAGTGGAAAATTGCTGGGATTGGTTGGGGGGGGGGGTGCGTGTCTAATTATCAGTCTGTTGTTTTACTTGTTTATGGAAAACTTGATACTTTTGTTCACTACAATCAGTTGCTGGCACTGGCTGCTGGTCAGTTTTGTTTTGTTATTTTGAAAACTTTTTAAGTTCTTTTTTTGTCTACTTTCCTGTGCATAGGAGCCCAGTATCTCCATTATCTGTTGCAAGTTTCTGCAACTAGTTGCTTTACAGTTTTTTGTCAGTATATTTCTTTTTGGTGTTGCCTTTAGTCTTCTCTTTCAAGTGAGACGTGATCATTATTAAATTGACTCCCTGAACTTTGCGACTCAACTTGACCCAATCTGTTGATTAAACAATGATCGTGGGTGGTTGGCGGGTCCTCTGGTGTGGTTTGCTTCTTCTTTCCTATCAAACATCTATCGTCCTTATCTCCCCTTCTTCTTTTTTATGTTTGTTACTCTCTTGTAACACCTAATCTTCTGGTGCTCATATGACCTTATAATGCAGTTGCAAGCGCCGTAAAAACCTCTACTAAAACTAAAATTAAAAACAATGATCATGAGGGAATAAAACATTTCCAATGCGTCTTTGTGATTGCTAATTAATCAACTTCAGAATTAATTAAGTGCTTTCTATTGGCATCTGTCGTGTAGTGGTTTGTACTTGTCACTCACAGAAGATGAGTTAAAGGAAATCTTTATCGAGTAACTGTTGAGATGTAGTGCGGTATCTCATTCAGCCTAGTTTGGCTCTGACAGGCAGGGCTGAAGCAGCCCATCTTCCAAATGATCAAAATCGTGTTGACTTGGAAGTAAAACTTTTACAATAAAATAATGGTTAACTTTTTTTTTTCTGTGCGATCTAGGATGGCAAGCACAGCCTGGAGATTCCCATCCCAGAGTACCAAAAGGCGGCGACGGGCACTGGCAGCATTGATGACCCCGTGGCTCCGATGCCTGGCGTAGTGGAGAAAGTGGTGGCCGAACCCGGGGCTGCTGTACAGAAGGGAGATCCTCTGGTGGTCATGATTGCCATGAAAATGGAGGTGAGGTTTTGGTGCAGGTGGTAGAGGGACTAGCAGAGGGGAATGGGGAGGAAAAGGAGGTGAGATTGAGAGGATGGAACACGGGTGCAAAATTTTGATTGTCCTAACTAAACCCAGCATGAGCCATGATGGGAAATTACCAAGACCATCATCAACTAGTCTTTTAAAGTATTCAGGAAATGCTGCCTTGGACACATACTTGGTGTCTTTTGGCCCATCATCATTTCAAATAGCAGCCTACACACAATGGTAGAGGAATGTTTTTATGTTGGGGATGGGGAAGGGGATAAAGTATTATGCCAGGGAAGATCTGTGGACAAAGATAATCTTCTGGTTGTCACTTTTACTTTGATGATCTAGGTTAAGCGTGGGGCAGGGGGTAGAGGGCCTAGCACAGGAGCTGGGATGAAAAGGGGGGGATGGGAGAGGGGATAGAGGTAATGTGGGATTAAGATGGGTTGTGGGGGAAAGTAGTTGAGTTGTGAAAGATCTCAGCCACTTTGAAATTTCAAGGTGTGTCAAGTAACAAGGGGTGTGGAATAATGGTCAATGGGGTGCCTCTTTTAGCAAGGTTGTTGACCTGTAAAAATAAGGCCTTTAATTGTGCCAGCCAGCCTTTGCATGTTTATAAGTATAAGTTTATTAACATGTTGTTTCTTATGTATGAATTATTAATAAAGTAGTTTGTTTGATTCACATATCTTTGTTTATGCCATTGCGAGACATTTTTCTAAAAGAATAGAAATGGGAAATTGGTACTTTGTTGTTTGATGTAAAAAAAAAAAAAATTAAGAAAAGAAAAAAAGGAAAATCAAATTTGGCTGTTTTTTGCTTTCCACAGTATGTAATTAGAGCTTCCCGCGACGGAATTGTGGAGAAAGTGTACTACAAACCAGGAGACACAGTGTCCAAAGGCACCGTCCTGGTTCATTTGCAAGAAGAGTAGTGACGAGGAGATGGAGCAGACTTGGACATTGCTAGCTGGACAGTCTGAACTTTTTTGACAAACGGCAGTCTTAAGTCACATGGTTTTGTCTCCATACATTATTTTTGTAAATGAAATGTGTGGGGTTTGACAATTTGAAATGTCTGGCTGCATAAGGTTTCTGTAGAAATTTTGACTTGTTTCATTCAAGAATTGGCAGCTTGGGGCTATTGATCCTGTTCTATTGGTAGATCGACCTGCATAGGATGAAAACTGCACAGAAGGAAGCCCTGCCAGTTGTGTATGCTGTTGAATTTACTGATAAATTGAATAGGAGTCAAATCTGTTCAGCTGAGCTACGTTTTTTTAAAAAATAGAGCTTAAGTTGCCTTGCCTCTACATTAACATGTGTATGGCCATTAGCTAAAACCTGGGGGATTTTGTCATTCTTCTAAAAAGCCTAACACAGCTTCAAACAAAGCAGTAGATATTTAAACCCTATGACTTAAGTCTGTTTTTTAAAAAGTGGTCTGAGTGTCCGTTTTTGAATTGTCCTCTCGGGTATTTGACCTATTCTTTTCCAACAGATTTTATTCTAAATGCAGCTCTTTTTAATGTGATATTGAGGAGACAAGCTGGATATTGAATGCTTGGAAGCACATTTGCTGAGAGTCTTTTTGTTATTGTTTATTGATAAATCATAGACTAAGATGGGTAAATTAACAACCTACCAGATGGGGTTTGGGTCATTTTGAAGGTGAAACAAAAGGAGTGTTATGAGTGTGAGTGTCACTGGTGATAGATATTTTACCCTCGAGGCATTGGTTATATATTTAAGTAACAGCATGATAAGGCTTTATGAATTTATAAGCAGGGATGCCAAATCTCCGGGGGGGGGGGGGTTCCGTTTTTTTCATACACTTGCAAAGGAAAGGTGAATGGTAAGAGAAATGTTTTTGTTTGCTCATTTAAAGATTTTACATGGTTCGTTTTAGGTGAGGTGTGATGCTCCGCTCATTTTCCATTTTTTTTTCAAAAATCATTTGGCATCCCTGTATAAGAAAAAGTGAAAGTTTTTGATTGCAAGTTATTGTGCTTGTGTTTGAGTTGTGAAAGACATGTCACAAGTATGAGGATTCTTTATACTTTCGTTTCATTTTTTTTTGGTCAAATGAAAGATTATAATTACCTCGGGAAGATTCTGTTACTCACATTGTAGTGGTATTGTTGTTTACCTTTGCTTATTATTTTCAAAAGTTTCCAGAACATTACTCATTCATCAAGTGTGCCACACGATCACAGATCACCTATTAAGTGTGACTTCGGATTATTTACACTGAGTGTGTGTGCTACTGTAATACTCCACAATTGTAACGTTCATGATATTATAACACAGGGTTTCTACAAAGTCTCATGCAATTACAGATTGTCTTAATTGGTGTAGCAATATTAGAGGCACATTTCAACAGTTTAGACAGGTACCGCTATGTTGATATAAAATTTCATAAAAGTAGTTCAATATGACCATTTGTTCCAATAGAGCTATAAAAAAGATTTGTTCTGATATGAAACGCCATGTTGAACCCATCTTTTGCATTGCGTAAGTGGGAGAAAACAAGCAACAGTGCTGAATGGTGAGATTTCTTTTTTATGCATCTGGTATTGACCATGAAGATTCTGGAATATGCATGACTTTGTGATAACCTGCTCTTCATTTGAAGTGTGTTAATTATTTTGTCTTCTGCCTTTATGGTTGTGGTAATCCAAGGGCGATTTCTTAGAAATTTTTAGAGACATGCTTTTTCTTTCTGTTGGGCTGGCTATGTATGTTTACAGTATTTTTCTGATGATGTAAATTTCTAACGACCTGTTTTGTTTTGTATGTTATACTTGACCCTCCACCCTCACTTTTTTCCGGAGTTATTATTATTAAATGCACTTTGCTGGTGTGAAAGATAAGATTTTTGTTTACTTTCAATTTCTTCCTTTTGTTTTTTGCTTAAGTTGGTGTAACGTGTTGAAGAACCCCATTATAATGATAGCCGTCTTTGCTAGTTGACTATACTGCTTAGGTTGAAATTCACAAAATAGAGGAGATTTTGAGTTCCACTCCTAAGGGACTTTGTGGTTCACATTACCTCAAGTTTGACCCAAACAGTTTTTTCTGTAAGGGCTTTTTTTTTCCAGCCAGACAGTGGACATGGATTGGGTCTTCTCTATAATATCATGCATTTTTTTCCAGTGGGGTCCTCTATGGGTGTACATTATTTCAGTGCAATGATTGTGTCGGTTCTGATGGGCTCTATTTAGATTTGTTTTTTGACAGATTTTATTTTGAATGTGTGAAATACATGTTGATAAGTTGTGACTGATGTTTGGTCATTGACATTAAAGAAAACCAGGCGTTATTATGTCCAAATGTATGGTTTTGAGAAGTTCAACATTTTGTTCTTCGGCTCAACAATACATAATTTGTATGTATTCTTGCAGAGTTTTAAAAGTAACCATAGGGTTACAACACTGATAGTTATAGACAACATAGGAGACTGCTGGAATTAATGCATTTTGTTATTCTTAATCAACTGGATGAAATGAACAAGTCATTTCTGACCCTTTTTTACCATGGCGAATTGTAATTTTAAAAAGCTTCTTCTGTTAAAAAAAAAGGGGAAATAGAAAGTTCTCATATTGTTCTCTTTCAAACTTTGTGCTTTTAGGACTTTGTGACAGAAGGAGAGTCTGATTAATGATGAGGGTAGTTGTTCTTTCCAACTCGTATAAATGTTTGTTTGAACTTCAACTTTATAATCTTTATGACTGCCGCTACTTTGATGTCTTTTGTCTTACTTGTGTTGTGATCGAGTTATCGCAGGAAGACGATACTCAATACTCTCTCTTTCTCTCTCTCTCTCTCTCTCTCTCTCTCTCTCTCTCTTTCTCTCTCTCTCTCTCTCTCTCTCTCTCTCTCTCTCTCTCTCTCTCTCTCTCCCCCCCTCCCTTCCCCTATCTGTCTGTCTGTCTGTCTGTCTGTCTATCCAACTATCTATTTTTTTCTATCCCTCTCCTCTGTGTCACTGTCCTAATTGTTAGAGGCTACCTTGTGAAACATCCTATTCCACTCTCAAGAATGCCATAAAGTTGATAAAATGTTTACCTTTCCATGTCCTTGCATGTTACATAAATTTAAATAACATGAAATATTATGAATGTAATCAGAAGAAAGACTGAAAGAAGGTATAAGTTGCTCAAGTTTCTTCTCCTTTGTATTCAGTGATTTCTTTCATTAGATGTATAATATATATATACTCTTTAGTGTTTATGGAGAACTTGATATTTTGGAAAAAAGTTTAATAGTGTTTTTTGGAAGTGAGTCTCTAAAATGGTATTTTTACATTTAAAAAAAAAAAAGCATGTCTTTTGTTGTCGTCCAAAGCAAACACGTTAATTTGGATGTGAAGAAGATTTTAATTCAGGAAAAAAAAGAGAATGATGATGAATTGTGTATCAGGTGAAGACTAAATGATTTTGTTATCGTTATTAGATCATTATACTCTTTGTGAATTGGGAACATAATTTTTGCTGGCAAATGTTATTGTTGATTATTGAATGGCCTCTTTGTTGTCAACATGAAAATAATGGATTGTCATTGTTTTAAAAATTTAGCTTTGATTATAACAATTTATTAGTGTTTTGCAGTTGTAACCAGTATGAAAGGGGTATGTACTCGTACCCTGTCATTTTGTTTTCAGAACTTGTAAAGATGTTTGAGACGAAGAGTTTGAGCTAAATAAAGTTCAAAAATATTCATTCTTTATTCCATTCTTTTTTTTTTGGTGTCAGCCTCTCCTACTTAACATCGTACTGATGCCAATGCCTGTTTTCTGTATACATTCATTCTCGAGTGCCCTCGACTTTATTATGTTGGTCTTGTTTTGAAAGCCATCTCAGCTCGTCTTTTGTGATGAAGACTTTGGTCCTCCTAAAAAAAGCAATATGTGCCCATTTATTGGAGTAGGCCTACCATTGTTTAAAAGTGCAAATAAGAAAAAGGTTCCCAAAGTCAAGTATTTATTTTTTCTGTAAAAAAAAATTGGCAGTAGTTGTGCTAGCAGTTAGGTCCAAGGCATAATGTCTTCTACCCGCCATGCAAACTGAATTCCACACTATATTTTATAAAGTGACGACCAGGTTCCCAGCTCCTCATGAAGTTATAAGAATCGGGTGCAAAAGTGCAAGAAGATAATCATCCTTTATCTCGGTCTATTGCATCACGACGCGATGGAATCAGGCGCTTGTCAATTTTTGGGCATGTGGAGTTATTGGTATCATCTTAAAGCTTGTTCATTTATCTTGCTTTTGATGATAAAAAATACCCATATATCTTGAGCAGAAGTGAAGATATTTGTGATTGAAAGAGGTAAGTTCACTTAGTTTCAGCTACAGTGGAAACCTGATATAACAGGGATGGTGGGAGTACAGAAAATGTCCTGTTATATCCGATCCCTGTTAATCAGAAATGCAAAGGAAAGTAAGCATTTGTGGACTAATCCAGCTGTACTTATTCATGGGTAGTTTCCCTTGCCACAAGTACCCACGAACAGGGGTTTGGCACCAACTTTCTCCATGCCTCCTGAAACCACATCAGAAGAGCTTGGTCCACAGCATCTGCATCGGGTAGTCTCATTTTCTTTCGATCCAGAGCAAACTTTTCATTGGAGTATGCTGCCGTTATCCTTTCTCTATCCTTGATAATGGTGTGAATCGACCCTTGTGGAATGTCGAACTGACGACAAATCTCTGCCAGTGGAGCTTGCTTTTTGTCAACAGCCTGGATTATTTCCTTTTTTTGTCAATTGAAAGACATTTTCTCTAGCGCCTGACATCGTTGGAGACACATTATGCGTGCGTGTTGCTAGGTTTCGGGCTAGATCTAG